TTTGAGTTAAAGCAACTAATTTTCACCTATGCAGTTGGCCGCAGTAAGATGGGAATCGAAATAAGAGCATTCGAATACTTCCCTCACAGGCCAACAACTCTCTCATATATGCCGCCTCAATCCAGTCACTAAAACCTTCACAATTGGCCGCCATATTTCAAACTCAATCTCCACTTCGATTGAGGGAATACGATGAAATTTTCTGAAAAAAGACGACTCGTGTAAAAGAGGTTTGTACTTGTCAACATCTGGAGCTATTTCCAGCTGAATTCACTTCACTCTCATCAATTCTCACTGGCCTACCGCCGGAAATAATGAAGACTCGAACCTGCTTGAGACAATTCGCCGAAGATCGGCGACCGTGAACCAATCACAGCTCTTGGGAATCATGCGGATAATAGATAATCACACCTGTTAATTTAGTAACTCAGCAATTACTGGCCTGTCGATCTAGGGACCTATACAATGCAGACCTACGTATTGTCCAAATCAAACCAGGGGCTTTCTTTAGTGGCGCTGAGGACTAACATTCATGTTGTTCTGAATGAAAAGCCACGAACCTAGTGATCGAAAGTTCCGTAGCTCCAACACAAACACAGCATCTCGCCTGCTCTTGTCTAGGCTTGAGCAATTAGGCATGCTTTCGGCACTCGTGCTGTTTTCGAGTGTGACGGCAGATATGCTGTCGGCTGAAGGATTATTAGTTATATTATTTCTTTTGTACTATAAATTCCGTCGAACGACTCCCTGTTAAATCCTGTTCATTCATCGTTTTGTCACTAAAGCTGTACTCAGCAATCACAGCTGCATCCCCATGAAAATTCGTCCTTACACTACTTTATTCAGTCATTCCGCGATTTCCAGAAACCATCGTTGCATGGGATTTATTGAAGGCCGAGTACTACACACTGCTCCCTCAGTTTGTTCAAATACCGTAGTTTCTAACGTTGAGATAGACGAAACGTTTTATGAGAGAAATGACGTTCTGCTCCACCAACAATATACCATCAATTTTCAGCTTTCGTGCTTCGCTGCCGTAAAACCACAATTTGTTCGAAAGTTCTATTGTGAAGAAAGAAAAGCAAAATCAGACTGGGAAGGGAAGTACTGCTAACCAATCACCATCATTCCGAGGTTCCAAACCTCCAGACACCCCATTCACGTAATCTGAAAAGAAACTTATAACATGAACGTCACTGATATTGATTAGCAGCCATACAGTGCAGTTTCTTTAACCAGACGCAGTAAAGATCGCACGGTCCCGATCCTGGAAAGCGAGACGCACCAACAGCGTCCAGACTTTTCGCAATCTTTCATGCACCCCTGTTAGGCAAGTTCCGTAGCTCCAACACAAACACAGCAACCAACAGCGTCCAGACTTTTCGCAATCCTTCATGCACCCGTGTTAGGCCAAAGGTCGGCTAACTCTCTGCTTCCGCCACTCCGACTTGGTCACGGAAAACGGCAGTCTTTTCGCCAAACAATGGTTTGGTATGTACAATACATGGCCTGAGCAATCCAGCTACTGTCCTAGGCACATTATTCGATAGAAGTCTCCGTTGCGAAACCCAGCATTTGCCGTCAAATTGCCTCTTTGAGGGTCCGTCGATACCAGCCTGAGAAAGGTAATGGTTAGCGATGTTTTGAAGATGGCTCAGTTTCGCTGCTCTGAGGCGCCACGCCTCATACCCATAAAATAAAGTAGTCCGTATTTTAGCCTGATACACACGTCCCTGCAAAGTAGTAACGCCCTTGGGGGAGGTCAAACCAAAGCTTGTCTGTCAAGTTGCCTTGTATTGCTGCCATGGCATTCTCCTGCAACCCTGTCGCATCACATCGAAACTCGCTCAAACTTAAGTCCATGTTACTCACAAGGTAATTCCAGTGCCGCTATCAGCATATGAGTGAATGCAAATAGAACAAACCCTCGGACCGGTCACATATCCAATCCCAAAACAATCTCTTGCCGCAAGATGGATGACCGCTTACTGTATTTTCATTTGAGGTTCGCTGACAAAAGCGGCAAAGTTGGAAGAGTGGATATCATGTGCATTTTTTCACAGCATCTCCGGACTAGTCTTATGAGACCTGGAGTGGCATGTGGTGTGTAGAGAGGGACTGAATACCTGGATGTCAAGTCAAGTACTAATAAGAATGATCTTCTGATTGAACTCATTGTGTTCGTTGTCATTCCTCTTGTTAATATTGCCGAATGTAGAACAAAGTGTTAACTTTCCTTCATATAACGTGTGAAACTGATCAGAGAATTTTGGCTTTTCATCATGTTTCTTCATGACTCCGGAATGACAGGCATCTCTATTTCGTCTTATAGTAAACATGGATGCAGGAAAACCTATGAGAAACCAGTAACCGACGGATGGCAAAGTTATGTTACTTCGGCGGTTCGGTTCGTGCGGGTTCAACATGAGGAAGGCTCCACATCGTGATGGACAGCGTGGTTGGGTATGCCGTGGATGGTACGGTCACAACGTAAAACGGTCATGGTTAATCAGGAGCGTTCAAATAATGCTTACATTTTGGAAATTTGTCGAAGTATTAGGCTCAATTCGGAACTGAAAGAAAGGCTAGTTTAATGCAATTTCAAGAAGTGAGTAGGTTAGTTTTTCCACGAAGCGAAATAGGGCATAAAACAACGGAACGGCCAAATAACAGGATAGCAAAGTAACTAAGCGTCCAGTTGGTCATCATAGGAACGCCGCCGGAAGAAATTTTTTAGAAGCCATTGCAGTATCCTTTGTCACCTCGTTCGATTCGCCTGACTTTCGATCGCTGTGTTCATTGACATCATCACTCAAAAACATAGTTATCTAGTAGGCTTAGGTAGGGAAGTCTAGACAGACTGGTCATTCGATCGATACACTGGGCTGCCATTCGAAACATCGGGCAGGCATGAAGTCAATCACATCCCAGGGACATCAAGCCACCCCGGAGTGTCACCTATTTACTCCCTGGAATCGATGTTGTGCTATTCAGCTATTCACTGGATTTCCTGTTATCGTTCCCAACATAGACCTTCTTGTGATTAATGAATCTGACGACTTTTTCCCAGTTTTATGTGTTATGAATCCGGCAGTTGTAAACTGATAACACGACTGCTGGTTTCCGCTCATTTCTTGATCCTGTGATCAAGTATTTGTGGGACCTATTATGTACATGATCAGGGAAGTTTGCGTGAATCTGTTCATCAGGGTGACTACTGGCCTGTACTCACAATATCAATGAATGTACACTCTTATCGGTGAAGTGCGTGTTCCCATTTCTGAACAAAGCCGGGACACTGAGCATGTATGCTTCACCTTGGTCGAATTGTCTGAGTATTGTGAAAATGAGTGTAAAATCAAGATTTCCTTTTGTATGTAAGACCTGCCTATACCAAGAAGCCAAGGAGCTCTGTACTGCTGTTTCATCGCTATTAGGTGTTATTAGCAGCGTGCATCTAGAAAGTCTCTAGATTGATTCGAACTCGCAACTCCAGTGTCGTAGTTTAACACTGAATCGCCGGGTGACAAACGGCTGCTCGGCTCTGGGGTTGCCTCCCACGCGTACGGACTGCCTAATCCTGTTTAACACTAAATTCCTTGACTAAATATTCCATGGGACGTCCAGAAATTTAATAATCTTGGCATTTAGGTTGTTTTGGTGACAGACGAAAAGAAATTGGTCCGGAGTTCCACCCCAACTGAATATCGCCTAATGTTTCATTTGGTACGATGTTCGTGGTACCGCGATACACTGCTGTATGGACGTAACACGTTCTCATAAGGTTGTTGAGAATTCTTCGACAGTACATTCAGTTAAAGCGGACCATTATAAACGAGAGATTCAGCTGGATTAAGTTGGGTATTCAGTCAAGACCAAATTGGTGTGCAAATGTTAGCATTCATCAAAATTTGTCCAGTTTGGGCTCAGATAGTAGATGAGCTTGACGTAAATTCGGTGGGTTCGCCTGCCCGATCATCCCCAATGATGGCTGTCGAAAAGATTTCAGCAATCTTGTGAGTAGTGAGTTACGTCTAGCGGGGGTCATTATCATATTCGAAAAGCGGCTAGACAGTTGTTTACAGCCAAAAGAAAAAGATCTTTGCGAAGGACACTCACGACAAATACCTGTTACACACAGTCCTTTTCTTGTTCGCAGAACTACCTTAAAGCGCATTTTAAATCTTTATGATGTACTACTCATAAGGTTGCTGAAAATCCGTCGACAGCCCAAGACTGGTTTCGTCCTTCTTGGGGCTCATCAGGTAGGCGCATTTCCCGGGTTTACGTCAACCTTATGTTCTACTTGAAACCAAATTGCACGAAAGTAGCGAATATACACTCATTTGCAAAGTAATTTGGTTTTGCGAGAGACTCACCCGGAACCCAGTTGAACCTCTCGTTTGTGATTTTACCAGGTAACTGAATGTGCTGCACCAGGCCGCCTCGTGTTTTAGTCGCTACGATATCGGGGATATCGCGATACATGTATATTTGTAATGAAACACATTCAGTTGCCTGGAAACACCACAAAAGAGATATTCAGCTGGGTTCCAGGTGAGTCTTTGGCTAAACCGAAGTAGTTTGCAAATGAGTGTATATTCACATTTCAAATCATTTTATCAAGAACGCTAAAGGATTGTGCACTTACCATTTATAAAAAAACTTGGAATTCTCATCAAAAATGTTCGAATATGCTACTGACAATAGTCAGTAGAAGTAGAACCTTTCAGTTAATTGACACCGGGTTGACTAGTCGTGAGACAGCCGAATTCTAGTCATCTGTTGTTAGAAACCTTATCCTCGAGGTGTGAATTCCTCCAATCTGACTTTTCTGTCGCATTCTCACCCAGACAAAAATCGATGACTTGACTGGCTTGAATCTGAGTGATATATATGTCTCGGATTGCGTGAATTTCATTTACCAACGACATCATTGAGGCACAGTAGCACTACAAACGCAACATCAGAACCCATTCTTCCAGTGAGAACGCATTATTTCACACAGTTATGTCACACATCCGTTCTGTCAAATCGGAAGAAGATGAATGTAGAAACTGTCTGGGCGCTGTGCACAGAAAACGGATTACTTTGGGTTCGCAAAGTTGCATGACCACTATCAGAAGAATCAGTGAACCTCGCTGTATAAAAGTTGGACAAATCAAATCTAACCGCTTGTTTCATTCCCAGAAAGCGGTCGTGAATTGGGAACTATCCACTGTCCACTGAAATCTGGGCAGATATCACGGTTGGATTGTGATTGACAGTGAGGCGGAAGGGGTATTTAGCAGTCAGTCATCCCTTAACTAGCTGTCAAGATACCATTCACATCAAGAAATAATTGCACACATCTACCACATTGAATACTCCGATCTGTGTCAAGTCCTTATGTTGAAAGCGCCACACCTCGGATTAAAGTTTATAAAGATATTTAACAAACCAAAACTATGATTCAATTCTCGGGTTAACCTGCCTTTTTTCAGGCACACCACCGTAGGCACTCTTGACGAGATCGAAAATCAGCTTACATCATGGTTGTACTTACATCCGGGTATTTAACTAACGACTTCAGACTGTTTTGTACATTATATAATTTGACACGAAAAAGTCATGGCTTCAAAAGTTGCCGGGTCCACGTAAACTAGAACGTCGAAATTGGGCGTAATAAAAAATTTATAGTTTCCCCAACACTTGGCATGCCACCTAGTGCTGTACCCCCCATCCTCCTTGTTCTCCTAGGGGATGTGATTATCGCAACTGGAAGTTTTTCAACTGCAGCCAAACGTCAGGGTAAAAGCCACTTGGAACCATAAGCTGGAGCTGATCGACTACCGAAAGCATAACAGCACAAAGTTCCAAGATTTACCGGTGAGCGTCACAGGCACTGATGGTGAGGAAACGTATCGGCTTATTTGGGGCTCGAACGCGCTTACTGTTTGTTGATCAGGTGGCTGCTGTTGATCTGCTTACTGGTCTTGCATGCAAGTGCTTTGTCATCATCATCATTGCGCGATTGGGGTCCTTGGGTGGGGTCAGCCTCATCTATTTGGATTTACATAATTTTCACTTGATTTGACTGGTTTATTGGAACCCGTACTTTTTTCAGTCCCACTTTTTCATGTCCACTTGTCTTGTGTTATGGTTTATATTCCTAGCATTTGATTAACGCCCTGGGTAGATTCTTCAGGAATACCTTTTTCTATGTTCAGATTGGTCTATCTCTGATTGGTGTTGTGTCGTGGTTCGCCTCCTATTAGTTTGAATGGTTCTCAGGGCGGTTCCTGTTTTTAGCAGTTTACTTTTTAGTTATGATTAGCATGTACTTAGTTTGTATTGTGTTGTGATATGGTTTTGTCGAGTTAACCTGACTGGTTGATCGTCTTCTTGTGCTGGGAGAGGTCCTTGCGTTTTGTTGTGAGGGCGCCTTTCATTCTGCCTTCAGTTGGAGTTCTTTAACCTGTTGGTTGTATGCGCATTCAAGTCAGCAATGGGTATCGTATATCGACGAATAAGTCGCCATTTCAAAAGGCCAAAGCGATAACTATGAAGGTGAAAAATATCGACCTTAGATACACAACTAGATGTTGTTATGGTCAGGGCCTTTTGGGATTAATAAACCCTGTCCCGCAGATATAGTGAAAAGAAGAGGCCTTCGATAGCAATGGGTATCGTATATCGACGAATAAGTCGCCATTTCAAAAGGCCAAAGCGATAACTATGAAGGTGAAAAATATCGACCTTAGATACACAACTAGATGTTGTTATGGTCAGGGCCTTTTGGGCTTAATAAACCCTGTCCTGCAGATATAGTGAAAGGAAGAAGGCCTTCGATGCGGAGTTATCTGTTAGAAAATGCCAACTAGAACAGTTGCAGACTATTGGACAGGGAAGCAAAACTCTCATATGCATCTTGTTCACAAAATTGAATATCCATCTTCTCTTTGAACGCGTCTTCCTGAACTTCCCTGGATATTCATTGACTGTTGCTCAATTTCAAGCGGATGTACAGAGCGACTCTACAAATTCCGTAACAGATCTCACTTTTCAAGAGATACGAAGCGGATTTACGAGAAAACATACTACTCACATGCCCCCCAGCAGTAGTATCACCGTTACAATAGTAGCATGAAACGAGGAATGCCACTTGTCGCGTTTAACTAAGAGGCTGAAATGTATTTACTGGGTGGTCAAAATGAACTAGGTGCTCAACAGCGAAGGAGGCCCACTAAGAGTCGAATTGCCTTCCGTGCACTAATTTAGCGAATTCAGAATATTTTCAGTCATTTCTATTCACATCATTTTCTCTTAGCTGTCCTACTCCTGTCTTGGCGCAGCTAATCCAGTGAGTCCACCCCAAAAAGCGAAAACACTGGGTTCGATTTTCGCCCAAATCAAACCTCATGAGTAGTGCATGCTCTTCGATCCCACCGGACTTCGAACTGAGGTATCTGACATGAAGTATAATTTTGTTACCACCACCCAAGCACCGCGCTTGATGCACCTGAATTATCACGTCTGAACAGCTAAATGGGTGATATAAATCGTTTGCCTGACACCTATGGCCCAGTTGGCCTCGCAAGTGAAATGTTGGGGGTTCATATCCCTGCATGACGGAGAAGATATGGTGACGCTTTGTTCTAATAAGAACGAAACTCGAGTCCAGTGCTCTCACCCTTTGGTGTGGAAATACTAGAATAATTACTCAAACACAGGAAGAGGATTGGCTGAACGAGAGTGCTACAAATGTCAGTTCCAGTTTTTTTTCATTCTCCGTATGGACTAACATGGTCGTGTTAGGCACAGCATCAGACATCTTCCTCAGTCAAACGTCCTGCCCTGTCAACACCATGCGGGTACAGTTAGAAGTTATCAGAGGACGGGGATGGCGTTTGACCCTCATGAACGGACTAGTAGCTAATCACTTATTTGCATCTATCTTCACAAACTCAGTCACTAGAAAGTGTCTTTGTAATTTTTCTCGATCGTCACATCGATATTTAGCTCCTTTGAAATAGTGCAGTGGAGCACGTCCGTGAATTCGAACGACTGACTACGGCTATGCTAATTCATGCTGTGCAAAAATCGCGCTATTCATGGCTCGCACCAGCAGTCCTCAACATGTCCTCAAGTAAACACTGTTGTCAGGACAGCTGATCACGATATTCTCATGAGCACCACGTCCTATTGTACGAAGTACAACTGTTCCACATCCACCAAGTTATTCTGAAAGACACAAAATCGAGTAACTCCTTGAAGCAGTTAGCCGAGTCTGACTGGAAATGCTTTGAGTGGAAAACACCCAATGGTAGTCGAGACATTCAAACTGCGTTTTAATAAAAAAACGAGTAGTGTTTTGACTTGGTTTTGTAATACATTCGGCCCTAACGGTAAGAAGTGCACCAAATCTGGCATTGAACATTTTAAGGGTACACACCTCAGGTTTGATAGAGGAATGCAGATGTTATTTTTCAGGAACGCACGAAATCAAGGCATTTCGGTTGATTGTTTATCCAAGATGTTACGCACACGAATGTTTCTTACTCCTTTTTTATGTAGTGTTTGAACTTGTTTGAACTTCACAAACAAACGCCTGTTATCCTTTGACTTCAAAGATGAAGTGGTCAGAGGATTTCGGTATGCTCTGTTACCTGGTGTTGTGTAGAATGATACACTGGAATACGGAAAGACAATTCTACCAAAGGATAAAACAGTAACCTCTACCTGAACGAACTTCAGAGGCCAGAAAGACAGTGGCTAGCTCTGTGGTGTAACATCAAGCGAACGTACAGCAGAACTTTGTGCGATATCTCCGTAGCATTTTGACATTGCTCGTTATTTGACCTCCGACAGTGCCGCAGAACAACGCCAGCCAAGACAAGCACCATCCGACACCATGACTGAACCCTCTCTTTGCTTGTCCTGGATAAACGGTGGTCTAACCTATGTCTGCGTACATACTGTTGGGGTGTTGAACAAGCAGTGACGATCCGATCCCAATAATGTCATCGCCTGGTGTTCGAAATCTCGAGGTTCACCAGCGGGCAGCCGGAGCCATTCAGCCTACAAGTGCCTCTTAGATTGCGCAGTATACTTCCGTCCTGATGCTTGCATTTCTAAGATGTGACCAGAACTTGCCGAAGGCGTCTTCGTCCAAAACACCTGCTGACCTTGATCGAAGCACACAGTATTTTGAAGTGTATTCAATTGCTCCAAAATGGAGAACTTGTACCGTACATTAACTTAGTCAGAACTAGACTTTCGTTTGAAGGTGACCCATAATTTGTGGTTTTTTTGCTAGTGCGTATTGCAACTAGTTCGATCAATCTACATTTGTACATGTGTAGGCATATTTACCACAGACATGCATGTGAAAAATTGCGCCCGTTTCGCATGAATGTGCTGCTTTTCAAGTCCGGTGCTTCAACGATTTCGCGCAGACACGTGGTTAATTAACTAAAGCCGTAATGTTACATAATCAGAACCAATTAGTTGAGATTTACGCACTACAAATCAGCCAGTGTGCTTGCTTCCAAAACGGTTAACGCAAGACGTTTAGGTCAGCGATTACCCATCTAGCATTTGCGTAGAAATCTCTGAACATCAGAAAGACGAGCACCGTAATCAGTAACCATTGTTTCAAGAACAGAAAACGATCTGAATAAATTCAGTTTATTCATGATGGTGCTGTGAACCAAAATCCTACGTGTGGTTAAAAGAGTTTCCCTCTGGAAGTGTGGAGGTTCCATCTGCATTTGTGAGTGGCGACATATTCCCGTGATCTGGTCTGACGCAAGTTTTGATGCTTGTGTATTCTCTCAAAACCAGTGCGTTTCTGTCCTTAACAAGGAGCCATCGATTTGGCCCTCGGTCTCATCGTCTTCCCCTCGTGATACTTTCTATGCCTAGCTTAGTCCCATTGTTATCCAGTACTGCTTCCACACGCAGATTGTCGCAGCAGACAACTCACATCAGTTCGAATAGATCGGACGCAACTCAACCATACGATTGATGGTGTCACCTTTTTGGTTAAACCATGGTTAAACCCTCCGTTATGTGCAGCAAGATCCATTCATGTGCTTGTGTCCAACACTGGCTTCGGATTGCACTCTTCAGCTTTCCACTTGGACAGCTCAAATGCTGATAGTGGGGGTTGGTTAGTCTTCCGGTAACCCGAAGATGTTTTCCTGCAACTAGTTCAAACGGAATAAACCAACTGCAACAAGACTTGCCTTTCCAAAAACAAGACGTTCTCCAGGGTCTGGATCTCATGGTGTTCCTCAGTTGTCCTTCAAAAATGTTTGTTTTATCATGAGGAACATCAGAGTAAGACGAATTTTTATAATATAACCTAATTGAGATCTTTAAGGTGTAGCGCTGATCGCAAACTACAACGTTCCGGTTAGGCGTGGTTAGGCAATCCGGTATTTTAATCTGCGAATTTGTGAAGTCATTCAACGGTAACTACCGACAACAAACGGATTGGTTCTGCCATTACAAAAACTAGTGAAACACGGTCTGTTTGCCTGCCGAACAGCGCACGAAATATTTGGTCCACATAAACTCCAAGTGGAAACAACAGTTTCCCGATCGAAAAAAATATTTGCAACTTGTAGGAAAAATAGCTCGCGATCAAAAATATAACACATATATAATGACTGTGTGGTTATTCTACTGTTAAGAGATACAACATATTGCGTTCCGGTTGATAAAGTTTTGAGTTCATTTACTGTTTTTTGGTGGACTCTTGCGATCACAGACAGCAACAAATCAGGATGAGATGATGTGCACATGTTTAGAATGAAAACTAACGTAGTACGTCCGACCTGAGGTAGATGGTTTCAAAGACCCTAGTCAGCAGTCACGAAGGGCTACACATTGAATCTGTTGTTGAAACTGGAAATCGCACAATCTACCAGGGTATAATTCTTTAAGAACTTTCGTTTCATGCGGACGATAGATCAACCTTGGTTGGTCGTTAACACAGACCTGGGGACTCTACCACACCCATAACGAAAATAGTAACCATTTGTGCCTGAAATTCCTCTTTGAGTTTGGCATTTTGGGTGTTCACACACCATAGTTGCTTTTGTAAATTGGATTCCAAGCGTAATTACCCTTGAGATCACATGTATATACTAACCCGTTCAGTGGCGATTTAATTAGCAACTTGTGCAGATAGAGGACTAGTAACAACGATGAATAGCCTTCAGTGTTCATGGCTGTTGATGTGATGACTGAGCCGGATATTTTTGCTGTAGACATGTGCTACTTATCCTGCATGCTTGTCATCAACGTGCTATTGGATGAACCTGCATGTTTACGTATGGTCTTGGGGCGGCCTTGGTTTGTCGTTGGTGTATGAATTGAACATTTCGCTCGGTTTGTTGGTTGGCTGATACTTGGATGACCTTGGGACCTTAACTTCAAAGTTCCCTACCGTGAACTTCGTTCGCTTGCCTTCCGCCTTGTTTAGTCCTTCCCTGGTCTGATGTCACCATTATATCCATTGTCCCAGTTGAGTTCGAGAGAGGTCAGTGGTTGGTGCGCGAAATTACCGACTGAACTGTAGTTCGAACCCAATCCCCGCATCTGGACTGTTCCTGTCTAAGCAACCTGGCGGTATCCTAGCCCTCGTGCTTCCGTCGGGTGGCATGGCAGCTAGACACAAGCTGAACTGGTGGTCATTTACTCGTAGTGGTAGATAGATAAGAGCGAATCCTATGAGTCGATTGATCGAGCATGTTGCGAAGTCCATTGTCTGAAATCTGCATGCTTTTCCCACATGTCCAAACACTAAGACTTCCACTTTCCCAACTCTTATTTACGCTTCTCCTGCTAGTGAAATATGTTGATTAGGAAGCATGTATCGTTTCCTCTGATAGATGCTCTGTGTTCTCTCAATTCGTGTTAGATATTTTCTTCCAGTCTGTCCAGCATAATGTTGATGACTGTTCGCGTTCTCATGCACATCATGCCCTTCGGGGATGACCCCAATTCCTCAATACAGCAGAAGAATCTTGGTTTCATGGTAACCTTGCCGGTAATTGATTTGTTCATGATGTGAGGAGAGACTGATATTTGCTTATTTGCTCTTGTTGTTATCCTCAATACAGCAGAAGAATCTTGGTTTCGTGGTAACCTTGCCGGTAATTGATGTGTTCATGGTGTGAGGAGAGACTGATATTTGCTTATTCGCTCTTGTTGTTGGGGTTACTGCCTGGAGCTCTTTCTATTCACGTTCCTCCTGACGGAACTTCTGGAGTGTCCGTTGGTGTCTAAATAGTTGAGTTTAGGTCATTTCCCCCCTTTATTCTCAATCCTGTCCCCGATTCCTTGGATAGGAACTCGTTTGTGACTGGACATATGAAGTGAGAGGTCGGTTTTTTTATATGTATGCCTTTTTGGAGTGCTCTGTCATAGTCAAGCTGGCACAGAATCACTGACTGGAAGTGTTTACATATTGGTGAACAGGACTAAAGACAAAGTTTCATAAAAGTACGTGTACCACGTGTTCAATGGTCAGAGGAGACTCCTATTAAACTATGGTGACAAAGTAGGTCGCGCTCACTGAACTAAAAATGTGGCTACCACAAAAATGAACGAACCCCAGGAGCTGGGAACTCTGGATGGCTCAGTGGCTAAGGCACGGATATGCTAACTGGAAGGTCCGTGTTTTGAAAGGCTGTGTGTCATCTTGTGGTGGGGGAAGAATCCAGTACCGCAAGAACCCTGCATGCTGTACTGGCTGGAACTCAGTTCTTAGAGTGTTATTCAGGTCAGGAATGCTAACGGGGAACAGGCTAAGGGAAAAAAACGAGTTCGCGTACTGCGACAAGTCATATTACGAGGTGGTATGGAGATAAAGTCGTATTGTCCCTTGCGATGGGAATGTGAAGAAAATAAGGCGTTTCCTTCGGAGGTCAAGCACTTCCATATTTATGGAAGCAGCTATGCTTCTGTTCTCCGAGAAAGGATGGGTTAGTAAAGACCAGCCTTTAGATCCGCAGTTCGATCACCCAACGGTTGACCGTGATCACCACTGCATTATTCAGCACGGTGAAATGCCTTTAAAACCAGAGTCTGGTTTTGCTCAAAGGACACATGCTGCGCGCAAACGCATTGAAATTCATACAGTAATGCATTAGGTCCTGCGTCCTCGGCCAGCCTACAAATTGGGTCAAATTACTCCTTGGTTCCGAGAAAAGTCCCTTTGAGAAAACTTCAACAAGCGCTACCTTGCGGTTCAATCTTTTGAATCAAAGGCTACTGGCGGGGGTCTCCGAACAAAACCCTACATTCTCCCACTGCACTGTGTGCCAGACTTTTGAGTCAAAGGCTCAAGGTGGGACACCTGGACCAAACCCCGTTCTTTCGCCCGGACAACCAGGAACTTCAGTTCGCCCTCACATGTCCATTTATTGACTCCTTCCCACAAGTTCCTCACGCACATCCGTCTGATTCATTTAGCTATAAATCATCTAACCGCTGCTTGATATCTAAGTTTCTGTCCAGTAAAATAAACCAAAATGAATCATTGATAATTCCAAATTATATATTATAGATTGCTACTTTCAGCGTTCATACTCACTGTCAAATTGTCCCACAGGTAGCTCTGGCGCAGAACTTGCCTCCCTTTTTGACCTGTGTATGTTGAGCTTCAAAAATACGCATACAAGACCTCATTTTAGCCATACACCTCATACCGCTAGGGACATACGCAGACATTTTCTATTACTATTCGGGCGTCTTGTGATGCTGATACAACGGCTCGTGGGTGTTGTGCTTAGCCCCAGGGCTGAATGTGCAGGAAATGCAATCTAGAAAAAAGCATAATTCCAGCAAACCGACGATATAAGCACAATTTACATTACGATTTGATTCGCTGGCGTGAAACGGCGTTTACTCTGTAAATCCGTATGCAAACACAAGATTGAAGTAAATCTTGAGGTATTCCAAAACCATTCTAAGTGTTTCTGCATCAATGACGAAGTCCGACTGCCCGATAGCTGAAATGAATGCGGGAATTTCGATGAAGAAATCGTTCCACTCTGTCGATTGATCCACATTCATGGAAATTTTTCCACACCTGGTAGGGTTCCGAATAATACTTGCCTGCTTGAGGGTGCTGCGTGTTAAGTGAATTACAAGAAAATCTGTTAAGGTTGTCAGAACGAATGAATAGTTTGCTCTACATTACAAGATGAATGCACACAAATAGCCTGTGACAAGTTCAACCGAAACTGGCATGCTATGAGGCTCTTCTGAAGACAGTCCACATGGCCCTTGAGAGCTTTAACTAGGTCAAATAGGGCGATTTCCCGAGCTCCCATGCAGCTAACATGCGCTATTCTAGCTAAACGGTCACCAGCCGAGCACATGTATCGCAGACTGCAGATGATGGATTTATACTTCAAGTGGAAGGAAGTCATTTGCTTACATACAGCACGAATTGGCAGTTGAGTGGCTATTTAAAGATAAAAACTCCCTCTCCATTGGAGGGGCATGCGATGATGGACGAATCCAAAGTCATCTCGCCAACAGACAACGTCCCCTGTATGACGTTTGTACTTTTACATCTCAGTGGCGTGCGAATGGACTTAACGAAGTACTCTGTCCCATTTTTCCCAACTATCATTCTGGAAGTTCTTTAAGTGTGATCGTGCGGCTATCTTATTGTTAGGGAGCGAGATGTATCAAGTGGTCAGAGCTCGAATTTACTGACCGGAAGGTCCGTGGTTCGAACCCGACCTCTGCCTTTCGGCTTCCACTGTCTAGGCGCGGGCAACTTAGCAGTATCTCAGCCCTCGTGCCTCCTTCATGTGGCATGGCAGCTAGGCACCGGAAGGGTGTTAACGCTGAACTATTATTATTATTATTATTATTATTATCTTGTTTTTGCACTGACAGCTAGAGGGGTTGTTTTAGCGAAGACAAAGCATCCTGCATCTAATCCACGGTCCCACAGCCAGTCACATTAAACGCGCTATTCCGGCAATTTGAGCATGCATGCTGATAGTTTCCGCTTTGTTAAACACGGCTGCAAGCTTTCCACTAACGTGGATTTGCTGCTGTGGGTACAGGCAGTAATGTAAGGATGCGTTTTGGCTTCAGCTGCGCCGAGCTGTAATGGTAGATCTAAGAAGGGCGACACCGGTGGTTATCCGTTAAAGAGTTTTCAGCAACCTCATGTTCCATCAAGAAAATATGCTACAGTTGGTGCGTATTACAAACGAGGTATTAGTCTGCATTCACCTGAGACTCCCGTAAATTAAAATTGGTGAGTAAATGAGTGCAATTCGGGAGTTTTGTACCTTGATGACTGATCCTGGTAAGCAGATTTCTGATCTACTGTGAATACTCGATAAAGTTGCAACGTTGCATCGATTCAGACCATGCCGGTCGATCTTCGGCCCCAAGTAGGGGCTGTAATCATCAGCAACCTGATGATTACAGTCATTAACTAAAGCACTAAATCGTTTGCCGATAGCGGGATATATAATCTCTTTCCCCCTTTAACCAAGAATATGTCCCACTGTGATCTGAAGCTGTTTAATGGTGACACACAAATCTTGAAACGCATGAAACATGTGTGCTTCTGTAGATCTGGCCTATTGTTTTAAGTGGCTTATTTCGAGAATTTCCCTTGCCACGGAATATTCTGACTTAGGCTGTAGGATTTTTCGTTGTCCCAAGGTGATTTCACAAGAGCCTTTGTAACCTTTCCGTCCTTACCACTAATAAGTTTTGCATTAATTTCCCTTGCCACGGAATATTCTGACTTGGGCTGTAGGATTTTTTGTTGTCACAAGAGCCTTTGTAACCTTTCCATCCTTACCACTAATAAGTTTTGCTTCCGCGGTCAATCGAGATAAACATTCTAAATGCTCCACTCCTTTCACATTGGGAATGAAGTAGTTTGACAAAACGGGACGAAATCAAGTCCCCCCTTCTTAATCCCGTCGCCTATCTAAACGGGTGTTCCTAATCTGCACGCTACTGGAGGGGAAGAGGGAGGATTCAGAACGACCCGAACAGATGCCATGTGTATGAGCAAGTGTCAAAGGCCAACGTGAGTGGCTCACTTGAACAAACTGATAACCAATGGTGCATATCAGGAAAGGTCATCTGGCTTGTGCGGGAAACCCTGTAGATTTCAGCACCGGTGAATAAAACGCACATACCAACAGTTCATCGGAACCAGGGTTAAAGACAAGTTTGACTGGAAACATTTAACAATGAGACTGATGTGGCTACAGAGATCTTAGGGTGAGATCTGCTTTGCTGACAAGAGTATGGGGCAATAGTGAAATGGATTCGAGAAACTGTCCATTGACTAACCGGTAGGGCTTTTTACTGAATACGAATGCGGGCTTCAATTAACCAATTAACCAATTAACCAATTAACGCTCGGTTGTTTTAATCAATACTGCTGTTTGAGACATCTGGTGACTTCGAACAAAGAAATATGGACCAACCCCAAGTGTTACACAGCATGTCAAGTAATGAACCAATCACGAGCAGGCACATTTGAACATTCAATGCAGTATGCAAAGAGCGGTGATCCATGCTGTTTTTAACCTAATAGCAATCCATGGTTTTGGACGGACAAACTGAGATTTCCGTGGAGTGAAGTGAAGTGGTCGACTTCCGGGAAAACAGCGACTGGCACCATGGTCAATCGCTGAGATTGCAGATATCCGTTTAACACAATGAAGCCACCTGACTTTTCAGCAAACTTGTGACTAGTAGTATACCGTGATATTCCGAATGTCTCAAACATAAGGCGGCCTTTGTGTAGCACATTCAGTTAGAGATTCAGTTGACCCTCCTGTTAAAACTGGTTAAATATGCAAATGAGTTTATTTTTCGATACCTGGCTTCATGTTTTCTAAATTTATCCAATGTGAATCCAAGAAGTTCAGGAAAGGATGCGAAAACTGTGCAGCTCAATGTATGCACCTCCCGAAAGAGAGAGTAAGAGTAAGGAAGAAAGAATGAGATTGTGGTCAGTCATGAGGATATGCGTGCTCTTTGACAGAAGCATCATGTTCCGTCAGCTTTCGAATGTCGGTCAGAGCGATGGAACTCTAAATCCGGAGCAGTCGTCAAAAAACGTACAGTGATGGAAACACACACGATTTTCGAAAGTTAAACTGAACAGAAAAAGTTCCACTCATGACCACTTCAACCTAATTGAAAAACAAATACCTGGTGCTAAAAAATGGAGGGAAAGCAGTCCTAAAAGTGACTTGGAAACCAAGCGGCACTAACTATGATCCAATACGTGTAAACATCCCTAGGAAGATAATCGTAACCAGGACGTTTTTCACCTTTGCATTTGGAAATCTTTAAATAACGTAATACACCAAAACTAATATTAGCATAAAGGAAACTACTCACAAGGTTGCTGGAAACTCTTCGACAGCCCACGACCGGTTTCGCCCTTCTTGAAGCTCATCAGTAGGGTAGGCACAGTCCCCGAGTTTCCGTCAACCTTATGTTCTACTTGATCCCAAATTGGACTGCTTTCGAGAACTACACTCATTTGCAAATCAATATGGTTTTCACAAGAGACTCAACTGGGCTGTCGAAGAGTTTTCAGCAACCTTGTGAGTAGTTTCCATTATGAAAAGGTACTGGGATATCTCGAATATCGTGCCAACTGAAGCACGAGACGGCCTTTGTGCAGCACATTCAGTTATAGAATATCATAAACGAGAGATTCAGTTGAGTCTCTCATGAAAACCAAATTGATTTGCAAATGAGTGTATTTCTCGAAAGCTAATATTATTTTCTCCCGTTATCAAGTAAAGAAGCAGTCAGCGGTCCCGTAATTTTCCGATTCTTGGTGAGTTATTTGTTTCATTCGCCAAATGGTGACATTTGGACCAGGAGATTAGGAACGCAATTCCTGAAAAATGTTTTTAGTAAGTCGATTCCTAAATTCGACGTTGTAATGCAGCATAGTGAGAAAATCTGGCAAAAACGCGTCTATATATGACTTTCTTTTCTGAAAGTTGTGCTTAGCAAAGTTATGATAATAATCACTAAATTTGATAAAAGATGGGTTAATTACACTCATCTGATTTGGCGAGAAACAAATTCGTGCAAATTTTCTAGTGTGAGGACCGATCGAATGCAGTATGAATCATTTTCCTGTATGATTTAAGTTTCTGTGACTTCTTTTGATGCGGCCGGATAGAAGTGTGAAATTTCACGAGGAAGTTAGTGGAATTATCAGATATGGATATACCGCGCACCATCCGTAGTGCATCAGAAATATACGTAAACAAGGACTGAGAATGAAATGTTTTCCGATGTCTTGGTGACCTGACCTGGAGTTCCTACCTAAATAAACAAAATATTTGGGCAACCGGTCACGAGCTATCACCTGGATGCTATTTGCCTAAACCACGTCAGCAACACGTCAACCTGCTTTGTTCTGTAAACCAAAAAGGTCTGTAAGTGATGCCAATCTACACTGGAAAGCCAAGAAGCACTGTACTACTGTTTTACGCATATTGTGAATTACCAACAGCGCGCATCTTACACAACTCCAGTGGGGATCTTCGAATCCACATTCTCCGGGCAAGTAGTTTGAGCACGTAACCATTCAGCTACGAGAGTGTGATCATCAGTGTAACTGACTCACATTTAGACAGGATATAACGCCCATTATCATCCTTCGCAGAAGTCCTCTTTAGAACTTCTCGTCCTTTTTGAGAGCCGCTATTACTGTGCCCCCTACCTGATCCTTTCAGCACATCCCGACTCGCCACTCTCCTGATAGCAGCTTGGCAACATGCCATCATTTGGCTACGGCAGGCTGCTCAACAGTGCTGGTGAACCGTATCTGTCAAGAGTGTAGGTTTACATTAGGCATTACGCGTCATTTCAAGGCAGAATAAAACAGTAAAACAAAAATACCGTATAATATCAAAAATCACCACTTCATGTTCCCATGAGGAACCCAGTGAAGTTTCATAAAGGAAACTACTCATAAGGTTGCTGAAAACTCTTCTACAGCTCACGATCGGTTCCGCCCTTCTTGGGGCTCATCAGGTAGGCGCAGTCCCCGAGTTTCCGTCAACCTTATGATCTACTTGAACCCAAATTGGACTGTTTTTGAGAAATACACTAATTTGCAAATCAATCTGGTTTTCATGAGAGACTCAGCTGAATCTCCCGTTTATGATATTCTACAACTGAATGTGCTGCACACAGGCTGCCTCATGTTTCAGTCGGCACGATATTGGAGATTTCGCAGTATATTTTCATTGAATTCCCCTGAATGGATCTTTAATACACTGACCTCAACATACTTACTCTATAGCATAAATGAGCTCTGATGACTTGGTCTTAATTCGGTACTGGAAAAAGTCCAATTTTTCGCCATTTAAAAAGCAAACAAACTTATCATCATTTTTTCCTGCCTGAGGGTTAGAAAACCGAAACCAGATCCTATTTTGCAACCAGTGTAGAATATTTTCAGTTGGTTTCGAAAAATGAGCTGTATTCAATTATCCGAAAGCAGATTGAATTGTCAAAGGTGATGAGGTTGGTAAATGGGCAATCGGTCGTTTGTTATTCCCATTGGACTCAATTTTCTTGCGAAAGAAGTAGTCAAGAATACAAACCGTCGTGTTTGGTGGCACGACACAAAAAATGAAATGGATAAGAAAGTAGACGCTTGCCAGATGTGTGAAAAATGAATGGCTAGAGATTCCATATAAAAAATTGATACATTCAGGACAGAGTTTGGCCCTGGCTTATAACGGACTTGTTCGTTTGACAGGTCAAACACTTTATCTTGACCCCACACATCT